CTGAGGAGAAAGTTAGGTGCAAGTTGAGCAGTCCTGTGTTCTGCAAGAGAAAACTGAAACTCACCTGAAAATGAGAACAAACGTGCAGCCTAACAGTGGATACTTAAATGGCAGCTGATCCTTCTGTGAAGAGACCCTTCTGTGGTGTTGGGGCTTATGGTAGGAAGGGAGATACTTACATCAACATTGTACATAGCTTTTTAACCCAGCAGGCTGCCACTTCTAACAGATAATTGGGTTTTTGCCAACACACTTGTGGTACATAGCTAGACATGGAGAAGGGAAAGGCAGAGTAAATAACTCACATTTCCATAAGCCAGAAGAGTACCACACCTATAGGAAAACATAAGTAGATGGCTTTCTGTATGCTTGTGTCTTCTGAAATTAAATTACACGAGTGACTTCTGATCATAGCTTTTTATGTACAAGCGATTTGTTTTATAATAACTTTAATTTAATGTGAAGTTGCTTTTCATTCTGGCATGGATATCATCCAAGTAATACTTGCAATCGCTAGTCTTTTAGATCCTAATTGGACTTTGGACAGCGGAGCATAGATGGCATGATAATGGAGAGCTATCGATGATGATTCTTGCTGACACTGTTCGTTTATTGATGTCCCTTACAATGCCAACCGATGTGCTTGGCACATCAGGTATATAGCAGGTGTTTTATTTTAGCCAGCTTGCTATGCTGGAAGGGTGGCCGTGATTATAAGACTTCCAGTATTTTCAGAGTGTATTAAGTCTATTGAAAAGGTGAGTGGAAAAACTGAGATTTTTCCACTATTCTTCCTGAATTTTATTTAGTTAAAAGTGAAAAGATTACTTAACATTTGTGTGGTGTAATAGGATGCTAATGTAAAGAAAAGAGGGTTGTGACTTTTTGTTAAATCTCAAGTGATTTGCAGTTACTCAGTTCAGGTTTATCTAAAACAACCAGATTTTCCTTAATATTGTTGTATTACTTAAATAGTGCTAAAATAATATTGTCAGCTGTTAGTTTTTCGTCAAGACATACCAAATCCACCTCGTCAGGAATAACATGCTGTATGCATTTGAGCGGTGTTTGTTGGTCTATATCTGGAAAGCTTTTATCTCTTAATATCTTGTTTCCTAATCCTGTTGCTCTATCCAGTAACGTTTCATAGCTCTGTCCACAGCTGAAAGAGACTTTGATCTCTACAGTCGTAGAAAATTTTATACTCCTTTTCCCACAGATGTGATCTCTCTTATCTCTTACTACTTTCTCTATCAGTTTTTAAGCTAAAAATTTCAAGCTGTACAAATTTAAAGGCGCCTACATAAATCTTTGTAAAACTGAACTGTATAACAGACTTTGAGAATGCTGCCTCCCTTTTCAAAGTGCCTTTTCCCTTTCATTGCTTTTATGTTTTTTCATTCTAATAGCCCATTACCCTATTTTTGTGGCCATTTTTGTTTTCACTTGGTATTTTGAGCGTGATTGTGCTGAAGCAAACTGTACATAATCCATAGGATTACTGCTCTTTATCCATCCCATATATTTTGAGTAAATTTATGTTGGCTGTAGTGTCTACTTTCAGAGTTAATTTTTGCAGTTTGAGGAGATTCTGTGGAATTGTGGACATTTATTGAAGAGTGTTTTGCAAAGGATGTATCACACCTGAGATTCTTGAATCTGATTTCACTGGAGAAGGATGGGATTTTTAGCTTTCAAGGCTTGAGAAACTTCTGTCACAGTCTGCTGGTGCTTTCTCCCTCCTGCATTTTTAAGTGGAAATGTTCTGAACAAGGGGGAAGCGTGCGTTAAACAGTAAACTGCCTTTGTCTTAACAGAGGACGTCAGGATTGGTTGCATATGTGCCATGTTATGGTTCTATCACATTTTCAAAAAGGACTTTAATTCCTTCAAAAAGTGTACTATTACCTTAAGTTTAAAGCTACAAAGACAAGCTACAGAAGTGCAGTCGATATGAAAGTGCAGTTCTATGATTGTTGCTGTTCATGATGGCCGTCACCAGTGGTCCAAAACAATGTGTGTGGATCAGTGCTAGCTAGCAATTTCCAGAGGGATTCAAGTAATAATGTCAGGGCAATGGAAGAAAATACTCCATAAAATTTGGCTTCAGGCATCTACATTTCAGATTTTCCCTGATCCCTGTATGAAACAAAAGCACAAATACAACAAATAACCCTGCATGTCTGAAATGTCTAATACAGTCTTGAAAAACAATTGTGAAAAGGATGTGCTTCTATCTGGCTCCCCACCCTCCTTCCAGGGGAACAGGGAGAGGCACTTCTTGTCCAAATTAAGAGATGCAACGACTTCCTGTGCAACTGCCACAACATATTCATCTGCACTAGTTTTCTTCAGGCAAGCAAAAGATTTTCTTTCTTGTTGCAGAAAAGATCCTTTAGCTATTTGAATCTCCCTTGTTACAGGTTTTAATCTGAGCTATGTTAAGCTGAGACTGCTTAAAAAGATCATTTGTTTCCAGCTAATATGTTAAACTGGGTTTTTTTGTGGTAGATCTTTTGCTGAAATCTCGTAGTCTGTGCTGAAGAACTCTCCTCTTTAAACGGAAAAAATTGTGGAACACTTCATTTGAATTGCTCTTATGAACTGTACTGCTTTCAGAGCTATTATGCAAATAAATTGTTTGGCTTGGAAAAAATCACACTTTATCCCAACCATTTTTAGTAGCCAAAGATTTTTATACTCTTGGCATTTGAAAGGGTAAATATACTTGTATTATAAGTTGCTGTTGGCTCTAAATTTCTAGAATCCTTTAATGCTATGACCAGTGTATCAGACTAAACAGTGTGTTTCCAGTTGTGTAAACAGAAATGTCTTTCATCAGTGTCAGCTGCTGTACTGTGAAGTTATCTTCTGCATTGCATTTTGTGCCTTTTGTACGTAGCTCTGTGTGGGTTTGGGTTTTTCCGGGATACATTACAGCATCAGAAAGGACAAAAGAGCTTTGCATGCTGTTGAATTCAGACAATCTGGTGTTTCCCATTTCTGTTACTCTTCCTTGTACCAGCAATACCTGTTTAGCTGACAACTTGAGTGCATCATGTTTGCAAAGCCATTTGTTTCTCTCTGAATTTGAATGCGCTTCCTTGTAGACAAACTGTGCGTGTATAAAAAGCTGATGTTGCCTGCTGGGGTTTTACAAGATCTGCTTTTAATATTGTCCTTTTTTACAGTAGTCTGCACATGGCAGATAACTCTGAAATCTTCTTTTCACAACCTCCTTTTAGTTATACTTCCCACTGCAGTGACATTTATGACTGAAATAGAAAGAAAAAAGTTATACTCCCCAGAATGACTGATAAACAGCTGTTTCATAAATGCCTATGGCATATGAACCATATTCTAGTGTTTTTCAGCCTCCAGGCAGGTATTGATTCGAATGTGAATTCATTGTTCTAGCTGCACTACCGTTAAAAATAGCCTGTGTTGGTGAGCCTAACTCTTGGGCATAAAGTCCCAGCTTTCAATGTGCGAGACTTGTTTTTTTTTTAAAGACATTTTTTGATAAGAATGCAGTTATCTTTAGGCTTTATTAACAAGAGGATGGTGGCTTCTTAGTGCATAACAGTTAAGTAACTCAGCAAAATTTGGGAGTTAGATTTTTTCTTTTTGGCTTGTTTGAACCAATTGTCAGCTGTATAAATGGATTTCCCATTTCAGTTGCAGATCGACTCGGCTGTGACCCTCGAACACGTTTCCAGGTTCCACCGAACACCAAGCAGTGGATTGCTTTACTACAGCGAGGAAACTGTACATTTAGGGAGAAAATACTGCGAGCAGCTTCACATAATGCCACAGCTGTGGTCATTTACAACAATATATCCAGTGAAGAACCTGTCACAATGACTCATCAAGGTAAATAAAACATAATCTCTTTCACTATAATTCTTTTTTGCCCAAGTGCTCTTTTCCCATATAAACTATTGCTAAAGAGCCCTTGGCAATACATGGTTGCTATTTGAAATAGCTTGTTTTCTAATGATGTTTACAGTATGCAATAGAGTGAAATAAACCAAGAATTCTGAAGAGTTACTTTCCTTCAGTGAAGGTTTGATCCTATGAAGAACACTTTGCTCTGCAGTGGGGATATGGGTGTTCTGGAGCGAGAAAATACCTGTAAGATCTTAGGAGCAATCTGTTTCAAACCTTTCTGAAGAAGAAAAGCTAACATAGAATGGAAGGTCTAGAATTTTACAAAGTATCTGTACCTGAAGAATTTTTATAGTAGCATGTCTTCAGCTGGCTGTTATGGTGGAGGCTTTCAAATGTTAACAGTTATATCTGAATTTGAGCTTGCGTGCTCTTTTTAATGGCAGTCTACAGAGGGTTCTCTTTCTACAATGTGTCTGAGTGCCATACAGGAATCAACAAAACAATGATTTGGAGAGACGTTGCCTCTGTAAGTTGTCTAGTATTAGGCTATTGCTGGTCTAGAATAGTGCTGCAAATCTGCATTTCTACAGATTTCTACTTTTTTAGGTGTCTCTGTGTAAAATTTTACTGTTACTAGTGAGTTACTTTAGCCGGTGGGAGCCTCATATGTAAACGTTTTCCTTGGTTAGAAATTATTTTCACAATTCTGATAACTACATTTTTCATTTTCCCAGAAGGTTTTCTCAATTTGGAAATTACTTAGCTTAATCAGAAAAGGCATATTTCTATATTTGATGGCTGTACTGCTGGCTGACTTTTTTTTTTTTTTCCCCTAGAATATTTTCAGCCCTTTTTCTTTTAAGCATAGTGGGTTGCTTGGAAACTGGAATTTCCTAATTACTGTTCTGCATATTGTCACACAATTAGAATTGAATTTTTTTACTAAAGAGGAGCTATGGTTGCTTCTTTCTCTCTTTTTTTTTTTTTTTTTCTTCTAACAGGGAAATATCTTGTGGCTTCTTCTGGTTTGGTGGGGTTTGATCTTCCCAGTTCTGTATACCTCAGGAATTTTCCAGGGAGATTTTGACCTCTGTGTAGCAATTCGAAGCCTGTTGGCAGTCCATTTTTATCTTGGGTACCTTCCTTAGACAATTTTGCAAGCAATCTGCAGGCAAAAAGTCCCGTATTCTACTGAAACGCTTTTTACAACCTTCTTTTCGTGTGTTTTTACGACTTCTCTCTCTCTGCTGATGTAATACTCTCTGAAGCCTTCAGCTCTGGTCTCTCTTTGAAATACCTGTAAGATTGTAACGTGTGCAGTCTCTGTTTAGCAATGATTTGTGACTTCTCCTGTGGCCTGGAATACCTTACTGTGGCAGGAGGAAAGTCTACTAATAACAATACAGCTGTAGTATTGTTTGCTCTGTTACATGTTAAATCATATTTAACATTTGATTATAACTTTAATACCTTCTTTCTCATAATGCCATTAGGTTTGGCAGGCGCTTTCGTGGCAGTGGGATGGTGTGTGTCTCTTATTAGGAAATCCTAGTTGACTCAGTGTTTAGGCTTTGAAGACCAGTGTGTTGCCTGTGAAACTATATCAACAGGTTGAAATGTCTCAAGATACAAAACGTGAGAGCTGCTGTGGGTAAAATGGTGTCTTGTAAGCTAGCCGGGCAACTGTTTGGATACTTGATATTTGGAAAAAAGCTAATACTGTCTTCAGCATGTTGACTTCCAAATATTTACTCTTACTCATGGAACACTTAAAAAAAAATGTAATAGTGTAATTACTGGAGATGATGCATATTTTATCTTTGAGTATTTGAGATACTGGCTTTTAACTGCATGTACTCAGTCCCCGGTATACTGTAATCTCTGTCACTTATTTGGGCTGTAGGCACAATCTCAAAATTAATATTGGACTTGAAGTGTTCAAACGAATGCGACAGACTAAAAACAATTATCTAGAGCTGAAGTACCTTCTTAGCACCATGCTGTAACAAAGAGGAATGTCGCTCCACAGCTTTTGTTTTGATTGCGTTATGATCATGTAAGGGATCTCCTTAGCAATCTGCGCTTTGCAGAGCTTCCTATAAATAATTTCCTGTTTGCTTGATGTAGGAACTGCAAGTGTGTGTAACTGAGATGTAGACTAGTCCTTTGGTGTTAGCCTCAGCACAGGGAGGGTTTGGAATCCAGCATTGCCCTCAGTGAGAATTAGTCTAAGTGGGATTATAAATTCATGAACCTATGCTTACGTGATGAACCTGTTCAAACAAGTGTTGTGAGTAAAGCAGTCTTACACACATTCAAGGCACTCTCTGGTCTTCCTTTTTCTGCCTCTTCAACTGTATCACTGCTTGTATGCTTTTTAGGCGGTGAAAGACCACATCATCTGCTAATTAGATATTCTGGTGTGCTACATCTCTTCTCTCTAGTATTTTCTATCCCTGAAGGTTGGGAGGAGTTGACGCTGTGTGTTTGATAGCTAAATCAGTTGAGTATGTGTTAAATAGTGTTGATATAAAGTGAAAATGAAGGTGACCCACTAAGTTGGTCTTATTTCCATACAATGTCTGGTGCTGTGCAGTATTTCTCTATTCTTTTAAAAATGCATTCCTCACAAGACAATTTTGCAACTGTATTATGACGACCAGGTTCATGGCTCTAAGTTTGCTTTCCATAGACAGGTGAACATAGACCTTATGTCATTTTATATCACTGTAACATAATTTTTATACTGCTACATACCAAACTTTAGGAATATTCTGTCTTCCTGGTGAAGCAGAGAGGAAAGCGGCAACTGCTGCTAATGCGCACTCTGTGAACTGCATGCTTTCCTGCTTTGATATTTGCATGAATTCAATCACCAGCTTAGGCAATGTCTGTGCTAAAAATAAGTCAAATACAGATTTATGGATGTTGCCCACCTGCAGACAGGAGATTCCTTATGAAAAGAGCTCAGTAAGCAGTTCTCACCTATGGGATTAATATTTTAACCAAGTTTTTTTTATGCCTGAACAGACATTTGAAAATTTTAATCTTATGGAAATTTGTTAGTACTCAAGGTATTACCTAGCAGAATATGAATAATTCCTTCTGTTGGCTAGATAACAACTGTCACTCTTAAATCAGTCTATCATCACCATGTCAAATGAACAGTTTCTATTGCTGATATCAGAACTTGCTTTTTTTTGTGTGATAGTCCACTGAGTCTCTGCCCCTTCAGCTTAGAGTTGAGTTTTAAAGTATGTACTGACCTTGAGAAGCTGTTGAACTTTTTAAACAGATATATATGTATTTCTGTTAATGTTTGCAACATTATTTACTTTTCTCTGTGTATATCCTTCTATATATATTACTGTGTGCATGGAAAATAAGTTGATTTTACACATTCTTGTAGATGTCCTTTACCAACCTAAGTGAAGGACATCTTTCCCAGCACAGGTTATGTTATACTATGATATCACTGGCAGGAAGGCAGTTTTATGAGTGGTTTTTCTTGCTACTTCTGTTAAAGCAGAACAAGTATTGTTTAATGTAAAAACGAGCCTCTGTGGTAGAGAAAATATGTAGTAGCTTTATAATCAATTATGGGAATAGGAAGGAAATGCAGGTAAAAACATTTTAAATCTTTTTTTGTTGTTGCTGTTTGTGTGTGGTGGAGACAGTCCTGTCAAGTACAAAATGGTTAAATTTTGTGAAGTCTAGACTTCATTTGGATTTATAGAAAAGGATATAAGCCAAAGAAGCCTCTGAAGTTGAAATTTCATACTCAGAATTTGTGGAATAAATATAAACAGAAAAAGATAAACAAATATAGAAGAGAGTGTCAAAGTGAAGTTGCTGGATTCCAATAACTACTGTTTTGGTGCTGAAGAAATTTCCTGAAGAATTTAAACAACTTCTGATATCATACCTTCTTCAGAGGATTTACCTGATGCAGGTAAATCTGTTAAAGTCTTAAGACATTGGTATCAATCTTCATTGCGCTTCTGCAGAAACGATGCGTTCGTTTTCTGCAAGAAGGTGTTCCGGTTCCGTGATGCACACAGAAGGTGACGCTCTCCTGCTGCCTCCTGCGGGAGGGCTGCCCAACACTGACTCCCACAAAGAGTTTCCTTTCAAGGCAAGGATTTCTGATGGCCCCGTGTTCACTTAAAAAGCACACTAGCACAGAAAGCAAGGTCTGTACTTGCTTTGAACGGTGATAAAACTGAATGTATTTTATGTGGATTATTTTAGGTCACTGGGTCAGAGGCAGGAGGGACAGTAAGTAGTTTGGAGCTGTTGCCATCTAATGGCTATTCCACGTTCTTGCCCTAATCGGAGTGGGTAGAGCAGACTGCAGAGATCCGGCAGTCGAAATGCCACCCTCTTCTGTTGTGGCACTCTTGCTGTGGCAGCACCTCTATTCCTACACCGCTTGCCTTTGTCTCACAAATGTCAGTGTAGCTGTAAGCTGAACTGGTGTGTGAAAGCTGTGACGGTGTCCACTGCAGATTATTTTGCACAAGTGTGTGCTGACAAATATTTCAGCTCTATGCCAAATCCACAGCAAAACTTTCCCTTGATTACTGACACCTACTTTTAATCCACAGCTCAAAACTAATTTTATTTTATATTATAATATATTTATTATATTTTATTGTTGTTAATTTACACTGGAATATTAGTGAAATGGAAAGAGATGAGTCATTAAAGTTGAAGCTTTAAAAAAGGCAAAACAATCAATAGTCTAACCATTCTTTGATCATTTTATGTTGTTTATTGTTTTGAAAATATGGGAAACGAGTGTCAACAGCATTATAGTTAGTCCTGTTTCCCACTGCATTTCTTGGAAATGTATCCATCAGGAAAATCTGTCACACAGTAGATTGAGGTGCATGACACTGAGATGTGGAGAGGAGTGTGGTTGAAGCACAGAATCTGGACCATAAGGAACCACTTCTCCCTTCGAGACAAGCCAGGGAAAC